TTCTTTCTTATGCAATCACATTAACCAGGAATCCCCAAACTATGACCTGCTAACATTTATTCCTTATGAAAGAAGAGTTTTACTTATATAAACATAGGAAGAAGAAATAATTTTTGGTGTTTTCCAATTGTTTTTAAACCAGTGGTAAAGCCTACTTCCTGTAGTTCTGTGATTAGATATTATCTTCACAGATTGATCATACAAGGGAATACTACTTTTTTTTAAAGGAGAATCGTGTTGAAAATAATAAAAATGACTTCTTTAAAAATGTAGTTTTTCCTTGTATGATCAATCCATGAAGTTAATATCAAATTATCGCACACCATTTATTAGAAGATTCTCTATGCTACACTTTTTAAAAGTTGGGAGATTCCTAGTATTAACAATCCTGATTCATTGAGCTAAGAATTATATCTGTAGTAGCCAAACTGCTGCTCGTGAACTATGTGTTGCTCTTCTAGAGACAAATCAAAGATTTTTAACAAATCTTTAATCATTCTACTTTAAAATATCAACACAATTTTTTCCATGTTACATTTTTTTAATATTTAACTATTTGAAGAAATACCCACAAAAGTATAGTTATTCGCACACTTGGTACAGTGATTGGCACTTTGTTCTTTTTGCAATTGATGGCTGCCTAGTCTATATTTTTCAGTAGATCTTTGTAGGTTTAGGTTCATTTTTCATCTTAGGAAAAGGTTCTGTTTCCAATTTGAATGACACTAAAGAATATTCAATGTTACCTACTACGGCATAACAAAATTGGCAAATACTGATTCTCTTGTGCATTACTAGTAGAATGCACAAGAGTAGCAATGGTCATCCCTAGCAATTTTCAGCAGTGCAAGCAACTACAATGAGTGCCAGTTGTGCACCTCATCATGATCACATTGTTTGTTAGCATTGCAACTCGAAACATGTGACTTTATAGTAAACCAACATCCACGCCATCTGCTATCTTTTTTTTTTTTAATGAGAAGGAATGTTGTTTACTAACGATGTACTTTTTACTTGGTTCTTTAGCTATATTTAAAATGATATTGTTGTTATTAAACAAAAAACAATCAACATTTTATATCCAGAGATCTAAAAACAGTACTTGCAATCAATGGCAAAACTTGCATATCTCACTCCATGCCTGTGCTCTTTTATCTTCACTTCAATAAAAAAAAAAAAAAGAATTAAAACCTCAGAGGCACTCGATTCTAAAGCTGTACCAGTCTGCATTTTCACTTTCTGCCATAATGATAACTACTTTCAAAGTTGCCACTGTATGACATGGCACAAAGGCATTTGCTGATTGGATGCATGTTTGCAATCGGCTTGAGTAGAGCAAACTTTTTGTTTCTAGTTGCAGTCATGCTGGTTTTAGGAGGGGTTTACTAGTTATTGAAAACAGCCATTGCAGTTGCAGTTGCCTGCATGGCTGAAAATTGCAAAGTGTGACCATGGCTTTAGGAACACACCAAAAATGAAACAGTTGCACATGGAACAAGTGAAGTGGAATTCAATTTCAGGACCTTTTTTCAAATATTGGTTGATATTTCAGAATAACAAATGCAAATCTGACTCACTAACAACATGAGTGCAAGGATTAGTGAAAACTTTTCAGGTTCACTTTGTTACGTTTTTGTTTCTTTTGAGGAAAGATTTATACCATTTATTTTCTGGAAGAATGTCCTTAAAAGAATTGAGCAGAGGTTTTCTAGAAATTCTTCGACACTTTGGAGCACATCATATTTTTCCTGAAGAAAGCTTTTCTTTGCAGTTTATGATCCACCTTACTAATTGTGGTTTCTCTTCTTCAATACCTGTAGAGAATTAAAAACTATTTTTCTACAACGTAGATTTTTTTTAGTCAAAATTTCAATTAGATCATTGAAAGGGAAGACACAAATTTAAGCAATTTGGAATTCCTTTTCCTGACAAGCCAATTTTGACTAAAGAATCTATTTGTAGAAAAATTGTTTTGAATCCTCTCCAATTAATGAAGAGGAGGGACTACAATTAGTAAACTGGATACTTGCATGTGCTTTTATAGGCAGGCTATTTGAAACTGTATAGTTTTTAGTTATAGCATTACCATTATACCTTTCTAATATGTTGAAAAATCCCTAGGTATGCATGCAGAGCTTAAGTCCAGCTAGGCTGGCCTATTTTTTGTTTCAGCTAACCTCTATTGTAATTGGGGTAATTATGAAGTTTGTTTAGACCTCCAATTATTTACTACCACCTATTTACCTGTTTCACAAGTTACTGCATTTGTTCTCTTGAAACTATGTAGTAAAATGTCAAAGGAGAGTCTTGCATAAAGCAGAGCAACTAGAATAGGCTTTGAATACAGTACTTATTCTCCCCATCTATAAAGTCCTGGATTAATTATTCTGATAGCTTAGGATCAATACATTTGTTTGTTTATACAAACAAATGTATTGCATTATGATAGTCATTGACAGAAGCCAATAAGAACTGTTATTTTTTAACACATGATTTTACAGTGATTGGAACAAGGTACTAATCTTCATCAAAATGCATTTAAAACATGCAGTAATTGACATCTCCTAAAAATGGCAAGTGAAAAGTAAGCTTATGAAATAATTACACAAATCTATAATTGTTTGGGTTAAATATGACAGCATAGATATGCTCTTAAATCAAAACTTAGCCTCAATATATATTTTTATTGTATGAAACACTATGCCTATGAAAAATTTTTAGAAAACATTAAACTTAACACTCAACTTACCTGCCAGAATCAATCACACTATCACTATGAATAGGTTTTTCACCATCACATCCAGAAAAGAGATAAAGAATTGATACAATTTCTGTCTGTGATTTACAGATCTGATCATGTTTAATTTTTTTCCTATTTTAAGAATCAATATTTCTAGTGCAAATCACTCTGTTATACCCTTTAAAGGCCTATATATAAAATACCATTCCAATCAAGGACTTGACTATTTCTGATAGGCAATTGCGACTCCTGTCAGAAATGCCCCAAAATATATCATGCAAGATTCATTTTTTTTAAAACTTCTTCAATCCTACAATCAGTAAGAGGGCATTTTACAAGGCTTACCACAGATTTGGATAACCTGACATCCATATAGATCCATCCATTGTATATGGATTGAACCATTTGTAAAAAATTCCCAAGGTTTCAACTGTGACACCATCTTGACTGCTGCTCTGGACTTTTATCAAAATTATGCTTGTTAACTATCCATAAGCAAAAGAACCTGCCCAAGTTTTTGTTAATATACAGTCAAACAATTCCTTCTCGTTACATTTGCAATCCCATTCTTCAAGTGTCTGTGGGTGGTTCTCCTTACCTTGTTAATTGATTCATTAATTAGGTGACAAGAGGAGGTTGGGTGTAAAGATGAGAGGATGACAGTTGGGATCTTTGCAGAGTGGAATAAAGTTGAATCTTAACCTGTGTGAAATATGCTTTGTGTAAAAATCATTTGCAGTTATCTACCATTAACACCAAGATTGTTACTTCATTTCATATACATTAATTGAACTTTGTATAAATTAAAGATCTCAAACATGCAGCTCACCTAATAGTTATTTTTATAATTATTCACACAGAATTTTTTCTAAACAAAGGTTTTATGTAAACTTTAACTTAAAAGATTTTTCTCTAAGCTAATTGATAAATTCATCCACTGTGTACTGTACATATACTTTACATGTATATAACACCATTGTAAACCTAGACAAATCCTTATAAGAGGCTCTCTTTGTGCCTACAAGACAAGGATTTATCCAGATTACATTTTTTGGCACAAAGTACTGTTTTGTTAACTGATGCAATCATCCACTGTATAAATACTTATAGCATCATCATGTCTGATGTAAAAATGCTATTGGCTCTTGCATACATCAACCAAATTTTTGATAGATTCTAGAAGTCTTGACCATATTGTGTAAGATTAATCAATTATATTTTTACCCAATACTTTAATATTTATGCAAAGTAATTTACAACTACTATAAATTAAATGCAATATTTGATCAATTATAAGAATTTTGAATTTTATAATAATTGCCAAATTTTAAAATGAAAAAATTGTTTTTGAGCAGTTCTTTAATTGGAAGAATTGGAATTCTTTGATAAAAAAAAAAAACTGTAGCAGAAATGTTTGTTGTATTTCATGTTGTTAAGCATCACTGCCATATCCTAAGTTGAAATTACAAAAAAGGAGTATTTAACTTATTGTTCAGAAATTCAAATTCATAGAATTGACACCATATCTGCAATTTCTTACTGTAAGCAACATTTCATGTCAAATATATGATTTTAATGTAGCTGTTTCCAAAATAGACTGACAGCCAAACAATTAAGATATTGGCCTACCACTCTGGAGAACCAGCAATGAATCCAGTTGAGTCGAAAAACCCACAATATGTTGTGTCCCATCCCTCACTACCTGGATGCCCTGTGGGCCAAGCCACATCTTCAATGGGTCCAATAGAAAGGCCCACAGGACAAACAGTAAAAAGCAAAAATCATCAACAGACTAGGATTTGCAATATCTGACTCTGAGGACTGATATGAGTCTGGTGTCAAATCCTCTACTTTCTGTAGGTGGTTTAAGATGGATATGAGATTCTTGTCACTTGATATTCTATTGTGACATTGTTAAAGTCATGATTGATATGGAAAAAGCTCCTTTAGTGTCCACAAAGCAGCTTTTCATGTTTGAAATAATTGATGATCTTTATGAATCTTTTCACTCTGCAAGATTTGTTCAAAAACATGTGATTAGGGTTTCTCATTTCCTGGTCTTTTGCTTGTCCTGGGATTCTGGGAAAAAAGTGAACTGTTTCCCGGGATATAATTATTTTTAAGATATATCATTTGATATAAAGATTTATTTTATAATTATTTTTCATTTTTAAGTAATTTAATATGTCCTGCAATCTCCAAAATATTATTAATAATGCTGTGTAAAATATGTATAAAAAATTATCTTGAGNTAATCGTTTTGTACTTTTTCACAGATGAAGACAGTTGCGCTTTTCAACTGTTTTGTAATTAAGCAAACTGGATGAGATATGTTATTAAATATGATGAGGATCATATTTATTTCCATGTACTTCAAGTTTTAACAATTTTAAATTTCACTTAAAATGAGAAGAAAAAAAAATCAGTGTAACACTTAATTTATAAATTACACATTACAAAATCTTCTATCAAATCATCTACAGTTTACACTAATCACTTTTGTTTGAATATATTCCACTGTTAACAAAAATTATTTCCTAATTTTTTAAACAAGGAACTGCTACCTTTTAAAATTTGTCATAATGTTGATCTACTTTCTTGTAAACTAAGATTCTTTAATACAGCTATCAAAATTCCAATCAAAGATTTGATCAAATTGCTGCAAACAGACATTTACAATCAAAATACTTTATATTGGTTTGTATAAATTCCTTTCTTGATGAATTCTGGTTCTTAGAAAATAATAAGACATACTTGGTTTGAACAAATGTAAAATCACATTGCATAGTTTTTTCTTTGATTACGTGTCCTCAGCTGCCGAGTGACGACCGTATGCAGGGAATTGGTTTCCTTTTCCTCTGCCTGAAAGAAAAATTTAAAAAAATACATAAACATTTGAATAATTTAAGAGTATGTTAAACAGTTAATGTTTAAAATTTCCTTTACCTCGACTGGCGAGATGGCACACAACTGACTGCTGGCCAGAAATAGTCTACGCCGTTTTGTCTTCTGCGACGAAGTCTGCGGTACAGACTTGTCATTATCAGTAGAGCCAGAGATGATATTCAGAACTGACTGAGCTAAAAAAAGATTTAAAACAGAATGTAAAAAGTCAGAAGATTGATTAATTTTAGAGGATTTTATCACTAATACTCACTCACTGCACTGAAAACAGGTGATTTATCACGAATGAAGCTACTAATTTTCTTAAGAGGCGATTTCATTTCAACCTAAGAATAACATATTGAATAATTAATGTAAAATATTTATAATAATTAAAAAGTAGACAAAATTATGATTTAATCCACATTTGTTTTTTTGAAAGTGTTGCAATTTTTTCAATTTAATAATTTCTTTTTAATTTTATTCAAAATGTAAGTGTTTATGGGAGCTAAGCACGATATCTTGTACATTAAAACTTCAGAATTCTAGAAATAATCTCATTATATTGATCAGTCATAAGAGAGATGACTGCATTAATGACAGATTAAATTTAAACATTTATCAAAATACCCATCCACAAATTTATCACGACTCTCATTTTAAATTAGTTGCAGTATTCTGCACACTTTGCTGTTATTTAAAAAAAATTAAATTATAAAGAAAACCGAAATCAAACCTGTGTTGGTGGCAGTTGCAAAGGTTTATTTTCCGTATCTACATCTATCTTTTTTGCACATCTTTGCGGTTGTCTCCTTCTCCTGACAGGAGGATATTCTTCCTGAAATAATAATTTAATTCAGTAAATTAACAGAATTATTTTTTTAAAAAAGGATAAATCAATACACGGTTTATTGTTTTAATCATTATTTGCTCATAGTTCAGAAGTTTAAAATGTCAGCTTACTTCAATTATATATATTGAACGAACTATTATTAATCAATAAATTTTCACTTTGTATATTTTAAAGTAAAATGAACCACCAGATTATTGTGCTCTATTAATGGTAATTTTAATAACTAATTATAAAAAGTAACTTGACTATATTTAGGTAGTCAGGCTGCCATCTCTTGATACATTTAATAATTATAAATAAATTAATATTTAAATTTAGTTTACAAAGTTCTAGAAGAAAAGAATTGGCCAAACCAAAATTTTCCTAATAATAGTGTTATCATTGGTATAGCAACTTCTGAAACAATTACAGTTTCTACTATATGCACACTGAAAATCCTTAACTTTCAAACAACTCATCTCATACATAATACTTTGATACCTGTAAATTATTTTTCTTTGGTTAAACTTAGACTTACAGTTTTAGCCAACATATAAATATTTTGAGCTTTCATGCAATGATCCTTCCTTTCAATTTAGACTTTGAAACAGCAAAATTATCTATAAAAATCCAGCAGAGTTGCTCAACTTTCCTGGCAGCATCTGGTGGTGTCATGTGTTATCATATTTTATTAAAAAGTTTTTATATTTTTAACTATTATAAAATGGCAAAGGCTTAATTTTGAGGTAGGGATGGGTTTTGATTTGTTTTAATCAATCAATGTAGTCTTTAATGAAGTTTGCATATTAAAAAATATACTAATTTTCAAATTATGACTGAAAACAAATTTTTAATCCATTAAAAAAATTAAAGATGAAAACTTGTACATATTTAAAAACTAAATGAATAATTAAAAGAAAAAATATAATAAACTTAATGGAGCAAAATTAAACTGACTTCTGAAGAAGAATCGTTCTTTGCGACTTTCTTTCTTGTCGTCCTCCGCTTTGATGTTATTGTTTCCACTGCGTTTTCTTTTGTGTCAAAAGAACTTTCAGAGGAATTATGATAATACTGAAAGTATTATAACAATATTTTTAAACAGTATGCAAGCACCTTTAAAGTATGTCATAATTTAAAACTGTATGAATAAGAGATAAAAGCATATAGTGTTTGATATGCAGTTGAACCTGTCTATCTCAAATATATTGATCTTGAAAACTTGTATCTCAAAATATATTTTCCCCCCTGCATTTTCAGTCCAAATTCAATACATTTTACATGTTTATCTGAAATAATTTTCTCCCAAAACCTCTATATTTCAAAATATGAACCGAAGGCGTCACATATTTAAAACTCAGCAACTACATTTTGATAGCATAAATTGTAGTTGAGACATCTCTTGAAATTCGGGTTGGGATAATTACCAATTCCAATTCTGCCAAAAACTCCCGATCCCAATACAAAACCTCAAAGAAAAATCTAAATATGGAAGAGCTTTTCTATTATTACTGATGATCAAAATTTATACTTTATAATAAAGTACCACAAAACAATCATTTATCTAGTAATAAACGATTCTATCAATAAATGAAAATGTTGATTAGATCAGTCACTGATGTAAAAGGAACTAATACAAAACAAAAGAAGCAAATACAGTATGACATAATGAAGTATGTGAATTATCAGACATTTATTTAGTGATAAGAAAATTATAGATAGTGAAGACAGTAAGGGTCAGTTTACAGTCCAACAATAGAATGGTGCTGTCATAGTGAAATTTCAATGTACACTGAAATATAATCTCTGTATTCTCTGCTCTGCTAGATGTCGAACTATAGATGCACATTTCTAGTCTAACAAGATGACCATAGTTACAATTCACTAATTATCATTAGATCACCAGTGATAATTAATAAATTAGCTTAATGAATTACATGTCAATGATGAAATAGTGGCTAATATATATAAATACTTAGTGTTGGAATCTATGAGCTGAAAATATCTACTCTTGAGTCAATGTAAAAAAAAACATTTTCTATTTATCTGAAGACGATATTTACTTAAATGTAACTAAATTCTGATTATAAGTGTTCATTCTTTTAACTTTATATTTTGGCTGGTCAGATAGCCTAGACAAGTAAGGAGTCAGCCTATTGCTTTGAGAGACCTGAAAATGAAATTTGACAGGTGAAAAAACCCATCTTCAGAGGGATTTATCAGGTCCATCCTATTATGACCCAAATCCATGATGGATATGAAAAAAAAAAGATCTCTTAGTGTCTACATGGTAGAAAGATTAACTGCATATCAACAATATTTATAACTACAATAAGCAGATTCTATTGTATTTCTAAATTAAATAAAATCAAGTGTTGAAATTTGAATATATTCTTAATATGCATAAGTAATGCTTCTAATAGAGGATTTTCGATTTTTCTGTCCACTAAAAATAAATTAATGACAAAGTTAAAACAAATTTTGCAGAAATCTCTTTAGCCTTTGCTTCAAAACTTTTACAAACGAATAAATAAATCAAACCTCAAACAGTTTCTTCCTCCTCTTCGGTCGAGTACTTTTTCGAATATTGTCATTTGTTTTCTCTTCATTCTGAAATTTAATACAAATCCTTAAATTAATTAATAATTAAATATAAATATTTAAAAAATAAAATTTTCATAACTAAACACAAAATATTTTAATTTCAAGTCAAGTGATTCACAGATTTCTAATCATACTGATTTTAACTCTGCAAAATGTATTAATAAAATGCTTTATAATTAACCGAACCAATCACAAGATAAATGAATGAAAGAATTCAATTTCCTTTTATACTAGGTAAGTGAAAAATTTGTATATTTGAAGATATTGGAGATCCTGCCATCATGTGATATGCATGAATTTCTAGAACAATAATCAAAAGTTTTAAACCTTAACATCGTAAGCACGCAATGGGGCATATTATCACATGGCGCACACCAAATCAATGAATACCTTTTGGTACACATCAAACAGTGCACATACTAAAATACATTCTAATGTTCACCAGCTGGCCTGTCCAAATGGTAATTGATATGAATCACATTTTAGTCATGGATACAGCAGAATTTGTTGGATTTTATTAAAGATTGTTTTGAGAAGATTAATATAACTCTGTAGTATTGATCATAATGAATCAGCATAGATTAATAAATATATCAATTCTGCGATTTTATGACAGCCAATAAAAATTAGTTCTGTTTATTAATTATAAAAAAGATAAAACACAATAAATTTTTCATTTGTAATGTAACTATGTGCCAGTGAAAAATAGCAAACAATGTACATCAATCTGATATTGGATGATCAAATAATAAGCTTATAAGGGAACAGCATGATGTTGGGATCACTGATTTTGATAAAACTTGGCGAGGTTGTATTGCATGCCCAACGCTGATGTGCCAAGCAGTAAGACGCAACACTCAAAATTAAACGAAAAATTGAAATTAAAAATTGCAAACCACTTAAAACCTTTAGAATCCCTATCATTTGTAGATTGGCTGGTGTGAGCATAGTCATGAAGTTGGTGTTTTGAATCTCAATAGTATCAAATTTCCCCCTAAAACTATAATTTTCACTTTATTCTTGATACTTTTAATTTTATTATACTATCAGAGAAAAAAACTGATTTAGTTTTAAAAACTATAAATGAATAATAAACAGGGTAATAAAACAATAAAATCCATCTGTTTCAAGTAACAAATCAATGTCAAAAGTAATTAACAAATGCTACCTAATAGTATTTATTTAGAAGCAAAAGATTTTCTGTTTATTCATGTACAGTTTGTACTTACTCTGGCAACAAAGTCATTGTTTAACCTATGTATATCTATAATTGCATTTTCATTCATTTGTTCACTAAAGAACAAAAAGATTGCTTCACTATCTCTTGCTAACATCAATAGCATAGAAATGTGTTCTGCAGAAGAATCACTGCATGACAATATTACAGAATTTACATACTGTGAAAGCATCCTTCAAAATCAAGGTCTAATTGCAGCCAAGGGTTCTTCATCAATTTCAGAAGGTAGTAGGAAAAAAAATTAAGCTCTCCAATATTATCAAATACGATACTGTAGGTATGATTCTCTTCCAAATTAGTTGATGACAGAGAAGTGTTTTCAAACTTTAATCAAGTTTGTTTTTCCACTGACATGTAAATCTTCTTATTGTAAAAATTGCATTTATTCAATGTTCACACTGCAGAAATGTTTATTGTTTAACTTCAATTATCATCCACGAAATTGTGCTCCCAGAAAGTAAACAGAATGAATAATGATAATTTTATTTATATCTAATCCTCTTCCCAAATAAATTATAAATAAATAAAGTTTAGTACAAATCACATATGTACATGAATATTCAAAAATAATTTTCAAATAAATATAACAAATTTAAAAATACCAAGAATAAAGTAAAAATTATAGTTTTAGGAAAAAAAGATTGATACCACCAAGATTCAAAACAACAACCCTCACAATTATGAAATTGACTGTTACCTGGACAGTCCGGGAATTGGCTCCACAAAATGAAGATACTGCAAAATTTGAACTTAAGGCAAGTACAATACATCTTAACTGGGTTTTACTGTACTATTATAAAATGACAAAAACTTAATTTTGAAAGTAGAGAAGAGTTTCATAAAAAAATTGTGAAAGCTGATAATAAGTAAAATTTTCATTAAGTCTGACCACGCTGGAGATATGACACACGACCCCTTCCATGTCTCCACCATATCAACTTTTTATTAAGAACCAAAATTTAATAGCATTAATGTCCCTTTATACACAAGCTACTGTGCAAAATTTCATTTCTTAAACTTTACCCATTATGTGCTATTGCTTAATATCTCAGAATGGAACAGAGAATAAAGAAATTAAACAAATTAGAAATCAACGCACACACCCACAAATTTTTCCCTTCTTTATTTGACACGATTCCATTACTTTTCCATGTTATATACATAAGTTGGAAAAGTAAAAAGGAGTCAGAGGATTTTTGATGACTCAAACATCAAAACTCCACAGCCCAGCTCTAAACAAATGTGTCAGTGGAGCGGGATGAATCATAATCTCAAGCCACCAACTACAACCACCAATGTTCTCCCCATAATTATTGTTTTTGCCAGGTGGTTGATAAAAACTTCCAGGCAAATACCAGCATATAACACCTGACAAGGTTTGGGATAGAGTAAAATTATTTATGACAACAGCTTTGACAATTTGAAATTGACAGTTCAGTTTGTTTGGAATTATTATTTTGACCACATTCTTGTTTTTTTCTTAGTAAACTAAGTAAATTAATTTGATTTGCCTTTTTTTATTATGTTGCTTTTTAGTAACTTTCATTAATTTTTGATAAAAGTAAAAAATTTTCATACATCTATGTCAATGTTTTCTTAAACTTCATATATAAATGGATCATCCTCATAATCTTTACACATTAAAAAGTGCTTTAAGATTTCATCAGTTAAATAATATTCAAACAGAATGATTGATACAACATTGAAAAACATCCTGCAAATTAAAAACAAAATTTTAAAGCTTCATTCCAAAAAAAAAATTTGTTGCAATGCCAAGATTCCACATATTTATTAGTTTTTTAAATGCATTTGCTTACTGTAGAGAGTGAATATTTTTAAAATAGTTTCACCAAGCCTTGTTAAAATACAGTGGGTGATCGGTTAACGAACATAATCCGTTCCAAGACTTTGTTCGCTATTCGAATTGTTCGTTAACCGATTATCGATTTACCATAGGTTTCTATGGGAATTTGATTAATTCGTTCTGGAGACCCCCCAAAAAATAAAAATATATATACTTTCTTACTACGTTTATTCACATGTAATAATAAAAATACATATATACACGGGCTTGCATTTTTATTAGTCGTGTTTTTCCGTTTGTGGGGGTTAAAGAATCTGTCCAATGTCGATTGCTTTTCTGTCTTCATGATTTTTCAGAAGTAATTAATAGCATTGTAATTGTAGAATCTATAGGCCTATTAACCTCAACCTGGTTTGGATGCCATTTTAAGACCGTTGTTCTGACATCCTCCCACTTCTTCAAAAGATCTTTAATAGCAGATATTGGCATAAATCCATATTTTCAGAAGAAAACGTAAAAGAATTGTTTCTGTCAGAAATATAAAAGACTGGAATTACAAGGGAGAGTTTCAAAGTTCGGGGGAATACTATTCGATCAGTATATACTGGGTAGAACGTCGTTGTCGATGTCTCCCGCGCTCCGAAGAGTTTCGAATTGTTGCCTGAGACAAAGGAAGACCAATCGGTATTCGTTATTTACGCGCTTCTTCTTGTGTTTGTTTAGTGAAGTGTTCGTTATCCGAACATGTGTTCGTTGTCCAATCATAAAAATCTTTCGCGAAAGTATTCGTTATCCGATCTGTTCGTTAACTGATCACTCACTGTATTTTAAATAGAATCACATAAAAGTGTTGACTGTTCTGTTAGAAAGAACACATATTTATTTAAATTTTGAATGTGTTTTGGTGAACACACATTAAAAATTGAGATTGAACTATACCCAAAAAATATACAAAAGTCACACTTTTTGTTTATATGTACTTCTCATGAAGTTTATTGACTGGATGACCAGAAAAATCATCCAGGCAGGGAGTATAAGGGAAAAAGGACCGGGGAAGAACACTGATCAACAATTCTAATCTTAGCCAGTTAACTTTTTATTTAATCATCCAGTATAAGCAATTTTCAGATTTACATCTCTCGTGAAAGGATTTTTATCATACCTTAAATCTTATTTACATAATATTCAATTATTAATTAAAAATATAATTTAAATTACCTTTTCGGGTGATTTCTCGCCAGAAACTTTATACGTTTCTTCTGAGTCTTTAACAACTAAAAATGAAATTACAATAATTATAATCTGAGAGATCCACTTTAAAATCTATACAATGATAATTTATATTCAAAATACAATAAAGTTTTCATTTCAAATAAATTTTTAAACATAAAAACATTAGAAACTGGATTAGTTTATATTCATCCACTTTTCACTTTTATGTACACTTAAAACACAAAACTGAAAAAATTAACATAACTAGGCATTTTAACATGTATAGGGCTGCAAGTGATTGACAAGACTAAAATAGTTTAATAAGTAAAATTCTTTAAAAAGCATCCAAAAAGTAGGCATACAGTAAATGAGAGTTATGTCCAGTGCACTCGACAGCTGACTATCATTGTCAGATTATCATATCTAACTTAAGTCTGTTCAACTATAAGATAAAGATCACATTTGTAATCATTTTAGACATCATACAGTCAACAAGTTATTCAGATTATAATTGTCAAGAAAAATTGTGTAACCATTATTCCATAACTGTTACATAGTGTGTTGAGGGTACCAAGTGCATCTATTTTCTGTTTTGATCAACTTGGACTATGCTGTTCTAGATTGAATATTTCTCTTTTAAATGGTAATGTGTATGAAAAAACTGAAATCTTATCTTAGTAGTTTTATTTATTTTACTGTTTCATTTTACAAAATTTAAATGCATTCTCCTCATTCCTTACAGTTCTCCCACTGATATTTTCTATATAATTTTATGAGCTATCTTACACAAAACTTGAAGTATTCAAGTGAAAATAAGGATGAACTAAAAGTATCGCACGGGCCCAAATACAAGTCAATTTCCAATTTGGATTATTTACACCTTTTGAAAAAATTAACCCAAATACAAGTAAACTTTTTAGTATTAATTTATTTGCATACAAAACCTAGCAAATTGCATTTGAAAAATTAGGAGTCAAACTATTCTAAACTGAAACAAATTTTCCTGTTACAAAGAATTTAAAATGGATTAATCCATTCTTGATCCCCAAAATAAAATATTTTTTTATCTTTTACCTGTATTTCATGTATAAAAAAATGCCTAAAAATGCAATATAATATAATATAAAATAATATATTAATAAATTTTTGTTATTTAATTAAACTTGAACATATTTAAACACAAATTATTGGATGTCATTTATATTATGCAAATGTCAATTAACGTGGTTTTTATTCATTAATTTGATTTAGATTCAACTGTGGAACGTACCAAAAAACAGAAATAGTGTCTTTCCCGCAGGCTTATCAAAATCTAATTTAAATAACAATGTCGTTGATGATTTGTGCATGACATCTAATGATTCGAGGCGATCTCGGCACCACTGACTTCTGAATCGGTAGTCCTGTCATTGATTGGCCAACCTATTGACTTTCTTTAACATGGAAAATATAAGGAGGTGACCATCTGTCTCTCTCTAATCTGTGACTGGCTCTTGCTGAGTAGCTTGTTAGACAAATGAGTTATCATATGATGACCGGTGCAATTTTAACTTCGAAATTCTGTTTGTAAACTGAATTGTTCAAAAAGCAAGACATTTGAAAACCAAGGTTTGATTATTATAATAGACTACTCTCCATTTCCAAAAATCATTTGTTTAGCTTTGATAGTTATGATATGATCAGCAAGAATAATTAGTTCACACTTAATTCTTATCAGATCTTTTGCATAAATAGGAAGTTTTGTTCAGTAATGAACAGGTGTAAAACAACCATAAAGGATACTGTTTAGATTTAAAACAAATTAACTTAATTAAACATTTTCCCAAGTGAGGCTGTGTACCTTAGTTATATTAAAAAAGTAAAAAAATTGTCATCTTACCTGTCTGCATGGAACTTTGATTATTTTTATATTTTTCCATTTCTTCATTCTGAAATTTTGATACTTTCTCAAAATTTTTCTTAATGTTATCAAATTCCTGTTGAACTGTCTTCAATTTTTCCTTTAACTCTTCCTTTTCTTTCTCACATTTTTCAAATTTAGCTTCTGAAAATTCAAAAAAATCCAGTTTAATATTTACTACTTTACAGAATTGAAGACAATCAAAGCATAAACTACAATAAAATTTTAAATATTTACCTTCCAATTCTCTATATTCTTCCAACTGTTTTTTAAGCTGGCTTATATTTACATTAAGAACTTCTTTTTGCTTTAAACTTTCTTCTAACTTCAATATATGCATTTGTAATTCATTATCTTGTTTTGTGTGTTTTATATGCATTTCTTCTACAGAACCTTTCAAATTATCAATTTCCTTCTGCTTCTGTTCACATTCTTCTTTCAGTAATTCATATTTTTTATAAAAGTTATCAAAATTATTTAAAAAATTATTCATTCTGTCTGTATCATCCTGAATTTTATCTGTTTCCTCATCTAATTCCAATTTTTCTTCTATTTTATTAATTACATTGCAGACATCCTCATATCTGCCTTTATTTATTTCAAGATTGTATAAAATACTTTTATACTCTTCCTCTTGCTTTGTGTATTTTATATGCATTTCATCTACAGAACCTTTCAAATTTCCAATTTCCTTCTGCTTCTGTTCATATTTTTCTTTCAGTAATTCATATTTTTTATAAAAGTTATCAAAATTATTTAAAAAATTATTCATTCTGTCTGTATCATCCTGAATTTTATCTGTTTCCTCATCTAATTCCAATTTTTCTTCTATTTTATTAATTACATTGCAGACATCCTCATATCTGCCTTTATTGATCTGAAGATCATATAAAATACTATTACATTCATCATCTTTCTTTTTAATGTCAACTTCAAGTTTAGAAAGCATCTCATTTTGTTCTTTTAATGCTCTACATTCTTCAACATACCTTTCACGTTCATTTTTAAAGTCCATAATTTCATTTTGCAACTTCTCAACTAATTCTGCATGTGATGTATTCTCTGCACTCTTGGCTTTTAGAATGTGAATTTCTTCAGTTAAGGTCCTAATTTCAGAATTATAGTTTTCCTCAGTAAAGTGAAGACTTTCTCCCATTACATATAATCTCTCTTCTAAGAAACAGATCAAATTATTTATCTCATTCCACTTTTTACACATTTCCTTCATAAGCAGTATGACATTATCTTCCTCACTGTAAAGCATCTTCTTCAATTGTTTTGTGGCTTCGGATAAAATTTTCTGGGTTTTACCTTTCTCCGTCTTCAAGGATTCCATCTCTTCTCGTAGTGTCTCACCTTCCAATACTTGCAACTGATAATTAACAATTTCGTTCTTCAATGATTCTATTATTTTATTTTTTTCTTCCAGTATTGCTTCATTATTTTCATATTTCTTCTTCGTTTCTTCTAATGCAGATTCTTTGCGAGAGAGTTTATCCTTCAGTTCTGAATATGCACTCACGTTTTGAGCACAGGATAATTTTATTTCCGCTTTCTCTTTCATATTATTGAGACGAGTTTCTTCCAATTCTTTCTTTAAGTTTTCTAAATTATTTTGTAATTCCAACTTCTCTTTCAAAGCTTCTTCTAGTTTAACACGTACTTCATTTATTCTACCATCTGCATTCAGTAATTTTTTAGGTGTGGCAATACATCTTGATTCTAAAACAATTATTAAAATTAAAATTGTTAGCCCAAATATTTGGAATAAATAAAAACTACCAAAGTGGAAAAATACAAGCCACATCACCACTAAGGGTGTTTTTTTTTTACTTTGATGTTGGCCAGAATGCTTATGATGTTAATGATGTCATCATTAGTAATGCAATCATTAAATATATGACACACCAATAATGCAATTACTTTCTCTTATAGCCAGCACTTTATACATTGTGACAATATTGAATGACTAGTTAAGACGTATCTGGAACAGTCCACCCCAATAAATCCCTGGAATTTTTTTGACCTGCCTGGACTTAATCCAGAGTGATAGGCTGATGCTTAGCTGCCTCAGCCACATTGCCAGCAAGAAACCCAAAAGTCTAAATTTTAGTTAAAAAGTAAAAATTTTCAACTAAAAATCTGCAGTTTTATGAAATATTATTAATTGTTCTAATAATATAAACAGTGAAACAACTGAATTACAATATTAAATATTGTAATTAATTCATAATTTTAAAATTAAAAACAAACCATTTCATCAAAATCCAAGTAATTATTGTTAAATTTGTTGCTCCTGGATTCAATTTGACAGATCAATCTATTGTATTCAATAGGTTTAATTTTCATTCTACCACCTGTAACTGATGTCAAAAAGGAGCATTGATTCTTTCTTTAAGCCACCGCACCTCAATACACCTCAATAAAGTGTACGTTTCAAGCAACATACAAGTCCAATTGTTTATTTTTTAAATGTATCCAAATAAATAAAAGTGAAATTACTGGGAAAAAATCTGGCCTTTGCACTTGATGGTACAGATGCTGATTTACAAATGCTGTTAATATAAAGAGTCAATTTTTAAGTCCCTTCAACTTTGTATTAACAAGGTTTGACCGTAATCCATTTTTCTTTCAAAAATTTTAATTGTTGTTCTTGTAATTTAGTGAATCTACTTTATTTCTTTTTCTATACTCTAATATTCTTAGTTACTTATACTATACTCTAAATATTCTTTTTTAATTTAAATATTGTGTAATCAAATGAATAGAGAATTTGTGAGAATAACCCAAAGAATTTGGTGACAGCCAACAGCACTCGTTACTACTAAGTGTCACAAGAAACACTACTTTTCTAGTATTTATTTACTACAGATTTGAGAAATAACATCTAAAATTAAATAAATAAAAAATTAGATGGAAAATCCTTACTTTTTAAGATCACAATCTGCATCTTTTCATAACTGTACAAACAGAACTGTATGATAATCTAGTCTTTTAATATATTCATTAAATTTACTTCAATGTCCCCCAAAAGTTTTTTGGTCTTCCTATTTAAGAACTTCCAAATTTCTCAAAAAGTCTTTCTCCTCAAATAACATTTTATTCACGACAACCTGTTTTTAGTATACAGACCCTGTGAACTATTACTTTACGAGGGCTGTTCGGAAAGTTCGCGGCCTCAAATAGAACAACAAACAAAATAATGTTAAAACTTTTTTTATTTTTCAACGTAATCTCCTCTGTTAGCAATGCACTTATTCCAGCGATGTTCTAGCTTTTTTATGCCATCACAATAGGTCGATTTGTCAAGGTGTGCAAAATACTCGTTCACTTCAGAGATGACTTCGTCATTTGAGTGGAATCTCTTTCCAGCCAAGAATTTTTTTAGGTTTGGAAAAAGGTGGAAGTCACTGGGGGCCAAATCAGGTGAGTACGGTGGATGTGGAACTAATTGGAAGCGAAGTTCGTTTATCTTTTGTTCAGTGATTCTGGCGGAATGTGCAGGTGCATTATCGTGGTGGAACAGAACTTTTTTCTTCTTCAAGTGTGGCCTCTTTTCTTCGATTTCTTTCTTCAGTTTTTCCAAAAGTTCACAGTAATAGACAGCATTAATGGTCTTTCCTCTTTCTAGGTAGTCAATAAAGATGATGCCTTTAGCATCCCAAAAAACCGAGGCCATCACTTTACCCGCTGATGGAACTGTCTTTGCCTTCTTTGGTGGTGGCGAACTGTGGTGTTTCCATTGCTTCGACTGTTCTTTTGTTTCAGGAGTGTAGTAATGGATCCACGTTTCGTCAGTAGTCACAAACCGACGCAAGAAATCCTGTGGGTTTTTCTGGTAGAAGTCCAAACACTCCTTTGACATCAAAGTGCGAACACGTTTTTGCTCGGCGGTCAGCAGATGCGGCACCCACCTTGCTGAGACCTTCGTCATACCCAAATCTTCGGTTAGGATGTGGTGCACTCGGTCGACAGAGATGCCTGTTGTCTCAGCTATCTCACGCGTTTTCAAACGGCGATCTGCTAATACCAAATCGTGAACTTTGTCGATGTTTTCTTCAGTGACAGCAGTTGACGGCCGTCCGCTGCGAGGGTCATCTTCCACACTCTCTCTGCCAGATTTAAAAAGGGCTGTCCATTTTTTCACAGTGGTGTACGAAGGAGCAGACTCTCCCAAAACTTCATCCATGTCAGCTTTGATTTGAGATGGGGTCAACCCTTTTTTCGTCAGGTATTTTATGACCGCACGAGTCTCCGTCTTCTCCATTTTTGACAAAGCATGTGCACACTGACTATCTGCTAAGCTGTCGTGGCAAAACTTTTTGACAAATCAAGCGGAAATTGGTATCGTATCTTTAGAAAAGATGGCTGAATTATTCCCGCCAAAAATTAAATTGATCGCAGCGCCGCTATAGGCAAGGCCGCGAACTTTCCGAACAGCCCTCGTAGTTTTTATTAATTCTTCTTCATGCAAATTTCACAGTGAAGATTCTCAATAAAGCATTTTCAATTATTGCACACTTTAAATACATACAATAAAAAACTAGCACCTCACTTCAGAATTAGTGACACATGACAAATGTTGCCAAACTTTTTCAAGCTTTTGTTTGTTCACCCCATTAGTTTAAGTATTTTATTATAAAGTAAATATTTCATAAAATTCATGTAATTCAAATTACAAATAACTAAACAAAGATTGTGAGTTATTGAAATTAACATATTTAAATTGTTTGATACTTTATTGATACATTAAAATTTGAAGAATTTGGAAAAAACTGGCAACATTTTATGAAATATTGAAAACAAATTGCTTTTTTGTGTTAATTAAAACAGAAAAGAGCAATGTGTTTTCTAAGTTTTGTTTAAAAATGTTTCCTTTAATTAATGATATTTGTCATTTTTATGATATCCTGATTTCATTCATTTGAAATTTTAAAATTTGCATAAAAAGTGCACAAACATCAAATCACAACTCCCAAAAAGACAGAAGCTCAAAGATGATGACAGTCTCAAAGCAAGTCATATTCCCTTCTCTCCCTTATATAATAAAAAGCCAAACTACAATAAATAAATATGCCCAGTCCCAAACGTCCAGTTTTAAAAGGCAATATGTTGCCTTCTGTGGGTGCTTCTCACAAAACCTCAGACAATCATACAGGGAGAGTAAAGCAAATTTGTAATTTTAAGAACTTGAAAGAAAGATTACCTTGAAGATATTTCAATTCTTCTTTGAGCTTTTGATTTTCAATCTCCTTTTCATTGATGCTGTTATTAGCAGATTCTAACAGTGTTTGAGTCTTCTTCAAGTTTTCTATTAATGACGCAACTTCGGACTTCTAAATAAATGTAATTAATAATTAGTATAACTCCAAATTTAATAACATCTATAACAAACTTTTTGATATGTTAATGTTATTATATAAATCAAATATGTAAATACTACATTTTTGTGGAATATAATATATGTATTCACTCAGAAGTTTGAATTATATATTTTTTGATTTTATGACATAATGTGACTAGTGATTGAATAGCTAAAATGCATTTAAATGTGGACTAAATATATAAAGCATGGTGACATATTAAGACCTTTTGGAAGCCCTATGCATGTAAGATTTTGAGCCCTTCTGCATAATTTTACCAATCATAAACCTATAATGTCTATTTGTAGCTAAAGAATTATTTATAAATTATTATATACAATTTCATTGGTAAAATTGCTTTATTTTTTCAAATTTTGGGGTCCCTTGGCATGTGCATCAAGTATCTAGTAAGCTAAGTGGCACAGATTAAGAAACAGTTTAATAAATTAAGTTATAAGAATATCCTACCTGATCTCCATTTTTGAGGGTTTAAGACTTTTTATTTTTAATACTTTAATTTTAAAAAATAAAAAAAATTTATTTCATAATATAGTCAAACCTCTAAACAACAACTACTGACAGGAACACAAAAAAAATGACAGTTGTTTTGGAGGTTATTTTGTATTCATTTTTGTTTAATGTTCTTGAAAAACTAACCAATGTTCAGAGGTATTGTAAGTTTGTCAATATTTAATCTATATTTACACTTCTTGTGCTAAAGAATTCATGCTTCACTCAAACTTTCCATCATATAATTGCATAGACATACAACAGGTAATAATGGAACACTTTGTAGACTGTAGCACTTGTTTTTAAATTGCATGAGATAAACTTAACATGTATCTCATGCAATTCAAAAACAAAAACGCATAATTAATGCTAAGATAGAAATGTCCAAGCATATTACATTAAAGTATTCAATACAGATTGCTGTTATGAAATACGGATAAAATCAAATATTATATGAATATTAGTTACAAAAAAGTATGTTTTTGTTGTTACAAATTTAAAAAAATATCTTATTTCTGAATTAGATAATTCATATCTGAAGATCCATTTTCTTTGGAAGAGGGTTTATGAAATTATTAGATACACACCAATTCCAATTAATATCAATAGAGATATTTAAGAAAATTTAGAATATTTAAAATTCTAATTAGGAAAATATGAAATTTGAAACAATCATTTGACAGATGTTCCATGAAAAGTGATGAAATATGAACATTTTTGTGACGAGAGAGTAATATGAACTTAAAACAGTCATTTTCCAAGCATTTAAGAAATTTCTCCATTACTATCATTATTGTGTTATATTATTTCTTAAAATGAATTCATAATAAACATCTGATGGCTTCAAAAACGCAATAGTGTTTCTGTAAAAATAATTTTTGATTGACTTAATTCGGCATTATCTTTCTGTTTTAGTAGTTGATTTCAAATTTCATGGAGTTTGAAAAACAAAATATCATTTTCTTATATATATATATCTATAAGAAAATGATATTTTCTTATAGATATATATAAGAAAATATATTTTTATAGACATTATTAATTGTTTTCTTTTGCACTACATAGAAAATACATTCGTCTCTATTAAGAGCTTCTGATAGATTTATTCATTAATTGCCAATTAAATGCTATTTATCATTTATCACTTATCATAAACAAAATTTCACATGTTTTGAAAAGCCAAACCTTCTATAAATAATGGTTAGTTTATCAAAATTATGATCATTGTATAAATATACTGATAAAATTTACATTTTCACTAAATTATATCATCAAAGTTGAATTTAATTCCCTTTAAAGACTGTGTGAGAGTACATTACAGTAGAACCTCGATTATCCGGACTAATTGGGGATGAAGGTAGTCCAGATAATCGAAACAAATACTTTAATTTGTCTTTTAATGATAATACAACACGTTTTCTTTTCAATGACATATCGGCAATATTAAAAGTAAATACTGTATTTAAATCGTGATCAAATTTTCAAGAAACAAACATTTTTATTGAATTTGGACTACTACTGACCAACGCTAACAGACTACCTATTGTTTAAAAGGCCCTCTGGTGGCGCAAGAAGATGGATTTTATAAAATAAAAAGCAGTTGAAACTGCATTTTTATGAATAAAAAGCAGTTGAAACTGCATTTTTATGAATAAAAATTTGACAAACTACTGTATTTATTGCTTTATGACAAGTAAAATTTTTTCGTCGCATTCGCGGCTTTTAAGTAATGCATAAACCTTCGAGGCGCGAGGCATAGGCGGTGGCCCACGTCGTACGCCGTCCTTGGTCATAGAAATGATGTAATTTGAATATAAATTATTTATAAATACGTATGTCAAGTCATATTTTTATTACTACGTAAAAAATATTTAAGAGTTTACAACCACTGTGCTGGGTGAGAGGTTGTTGAAACAAAAAAAGTTATGCATTCCATTACGTACATAAACAGTGTCGTAATTCGCCAAGTGCAAATCAGCAAATTCGTAAAATTTTTCTTTATTTCGAACAATCCGGATAATCGAAAATCCAGATAATGGAGGTCCTACTGTATTTTGTAATGAAACCAAATGATTGTCAGATTTAAATCAGGCTACTTTACTGCTGTTATTAATAATTAAATGCCGAGTAATTTAATACTAAAGATAAATTTAATAAGAGATTGACAAAACTAAAATAAAACTCCAACTCCAACAGCAGTCTACAGAGAAGGTTCAACTGTGAGAAGAAACTCCTTTGTGGAACTTTTCATCATGAAATGAACATTTTTTGTTGTTTGGTTTGTTGAAAATTTTTAAGAAATTAAAATGTGATAAGGTCCTGTTTTTACAATTATAATTAGTATTTAGTACCTCTAGTACCAAATTACTCAATATTTAATTAATAACAGTGATAAAGTAACCCAATTTAAATCTGGCAATCATTTGGTTTCATTAAAAACTAATCAGTCTTTGAGATGTTTATATATATATTTATTTGTATGTGTATTACTTTAAAATCTACAAGAATACTTTATAGCAACAAACAAAAAGCATTCCTTTAGTAACAATACAATACCTGCAAATCATTCTGCTCTTTAATAGATTTAATTATTGAATCCAATTTTATGATTTCACTTTCTTTTTCAGAAAATACTTCTCCAGCCTTCAATACGACATTTGCTTGTTCTGCTATTTCTTTATTCTGGAATTATTAATACAAATTACATTAGATTCATATTTAATGCAAAACAAATTTGGATTACATGTTTACTATTTCTTAATTAACTAATCACATATAATTATATGAGCAAGTTTGAGTCATTTCTTCTTATACAAATTATTTTCTTTAGTAGAATAGATAGTAGCCACGAGAAAAGCAAGGTGTTGCTCGTCAGACTTTTGTTTAGCTTGCGTACAATATTTAGGAACACTACAGGAAAAATGGCAGCAAAACTGTTGATGAGAAGGAGACTACGAACCATTTATGACCAACTAAATCCACACCTATATAAGGATAGAAAAGAGGAAACAAGAATACAAGAATTCCAGATAGGGGACATCATCAATTACAGGTGCTACATAGACACACAAAGAAGTGGAAACCAGATAAGGTAACAAGAAAGACTGGACCATATACATATATGGTAGCTTCACCAGAAAAAACTGTGGAAAGACGACATTGATCAACTGATAGCTCAAGAGAACAACCACTCCAGAACAGGCAACATCCAGTTTGTCAGAACAACCTACATCCAGCATCCCAGAATAATCAACATCCAGACGGAGTACTACTGGTTAGGAGCAGCTCTAGAATACGAACGCTATCTGGACATCTCTGAGACTTTTAGAGGGGAAGATCTGTTATAACTTGCCTTGTCACAAGAAGGCATCAAGTCAAAGTGGGAATTTCCAATGTACTTTTCTTTGTCTGAGGCAATCTGTGTGAGTTGTCACCCCAGTCAGTTGTATTCCAGAGTGAATAAAGTTAATTGTTAATTAACTATGTGTTTTTATGTGAAACAGTGTCAAAAACAAAATCAATACAAAAAATATATCGATAATTACAAAGATTCAAGTAAATGCACTAATTAATATTAGTTCATTAAAATTCCTTGAAAAGTCAGATCACAGAATAATTCAGTCTCTGTATTACTGTAACAAAATTAGAATTTCCAATGGCAGAGCAAGACACTTTTTAGCTTGTTTTGTCCACTGGCTCATAAGGATCATATTGAATACCTAGCACAAGTTTTTTTAGAATGACAAGAACATTTACAATAAAATGATTCTTAATTCTCAGAATGCTCCTGTCTTTAGATGAAATCACCTTGGATTAATTTGGATTAAACCTAGTAAAACTTTTTTTGTGTCAAAACTAAGTGCATTGATAAACTCTAGTCATTTTGACATCACTCTTTCTTCTGTAATATCTGGGTCGATACACATTTCAGGCATTTGCCTCTCTTCTGTCGGCTTTACTTTTGAGATATCTTGTAAGGTGTTAATAAATATACATCTTACTTAAAAATTTTAACCGTAACTAGTGTAATTTTTAAGTAAGATGTATATTTATTAACATCTTACAAGATATCTCAAAAGTAAAGCCGACAGAGAGGGGCAAATGCCCAAAATGCGTATTAGCCCAGATATTACAGAAGAAATAGTGATGTCAAAATGATTAGTGTCTATCAATCTAAAAAATAAATAAAAAAAATAAAAAATAAAAGAAGACACGGTTTCAAAATAGGCAACAACTAGTAAAATGTGTTAATTACATACATAAAAGTGATTTTACCATAAAAAAATAAATCTGTAGATTTATCTGGTGTAGTTTAAAGATAAAAGAAATACTCAAACCTGTTAAAAATGGAAAAATAATTCAATACTGCATGATTTCAGTTTATGCAGGTTTTACTATATTTACAATTAGTTTGGACTACCGACTGCCACAATTCCATTAATAACTAAACTACATATATTTTTTTTAAAAACAGATTTCTACACAACCATAGTTTAAAGTTTTTTCTTTCATTCTGTTATATCATGCACTTATACTTTACTTATCTAAATCTGTAAATTTGTTCATCATTACCATTAAATAATATTTCCTATTTTCCTATTAAATAACTTCCTATTTTTTTATATCATCAACAAGCAATAAGTATATTTAACTTTACATAAAAAACGTTTTTACTATTTTTTACTATGTACAACCCCTACCATAAGTATCAGACCACCCATCAAAAATATTGATTTTGTAGTTTTGATTGCATATAACTATTTTCACTTACATTTTACAAATTTCCTGTATTTTTTTTCTTAAAATTTAATATTTAGTTAACAGAAAAAAAAAATTCACACAAAATTTTAATGTGTTTTAACATTAGAAAAAAATAAATAAAATCATTTGCATGTGTGAGACAAAACTTTTAGACTAGCAAAATTCCTTGACAAAAGTATTAGACCATATGAAGAACATCCGAAAATATTTCACAATAAAACTTGATTATAAATAGAATAGATGTGAAATGTTCTAACATGTTTGGGGAAATTAATGAAACTAGAAATAAACCATTTCATTTAAACATATAAACTGCAAGTATACAACAGCATCATGGGTCATAATAAAGAGCTGGGAAATGATTTAAAACTTCGAATATCATTATTCAAACAAAACTGCAACTGCTAAATGTAAGTAAAACTGGAGTTCAAAACATCATTAGAAAATTTAAGTTACTGAATGTGTCAAAAATCAACATTGTTCTGACAGACCCAAAAAATCATCAGAATTAGAAGACCAAACCATCCAGAAAATTTGCAAAAAAGTGAAAGAAATTTGGAGTCCAAGTGTCTTCAAGAAAAGTTATTAGATGTTTGGCTTCTGTTGGTTACCATTCCAGAAAAGTAAAAACTAAACCAATGATTACACCCAAACAGATAAAACTGCAACTAAATTGGGCCAAAAAAATATAAAGACTAGAAATGTGATGATTGAAAAAAAGTAATTTTCTGAGACAGTGAATGTTTTTTCAAGAGGACAATGTTTCTTGTCACCAAAGCAAATCAGTTAAGGAATGATTGTTAGAAAACAATATCAGGACTATAGAATGGCCACCAATATAAATCAAATTGAAAATTTGTGGTATTTATTGAAGAAAATTATCTAAAACAAACCGCACAACAAGCAAGAATTGAAATTGGCAACAAACATGTTGGGAATGAAATTACACCAAATGTGTATCAATAACTTGTAGATCAAATGCCAAATCAAATTACAGCTTTAATAAAAGCCACAGGAGGTCCTACAAGATTTTAAACAAGTGTGGTCTAATATTTTTATCAAGGAATTTTACTGGTTTAAAATTTTTGTTTCATATGCAAATTATTTAAGTTTTTCTTCTAATGTTAAAATATTAAAATTCTATTGTGTAAATTTTTTCTGTTAAATATTGAAATTTGAGAAAAAATACAGGAAATTTCTAAAAGGTAACTGAAAATAGTTATATGCAATCATAACTACAAAATCAATATTTTTGAAGGGTGGTCTAATAGTTTTGGCAGGGTGATGTAATAGAACAAAACTTTATAATTTTTCATGAATGTGTCAGAATTACACAAAATTCTGACACAAATCAAACTTGAGTCTCAAATGGACATGTTGACATAAACAGCTTTAACTTATTAAATTTCTTTGGTCTATAAAAAAAAAAAATCAGTAAACTATTAATATAGATACATATTCGTGAAAAAATAGTTCCATAGTTAAAGTAACAATTTGAAACAGACATTTTCTTATAGACTACTGTAGAAACCAGGATTTTTCTTCCTATAGTTCAACTCAATTATTAAATTGAGAATGCAAGGGAAAAAAATTCTGGCCTTCAAATAGTAGCCTACAAGAAAACGTCTGTTGCAAATTGTCACTACAGAACTATTTTGTCACAAATGTGAATTTGTTTTTACAGTTTTCTGATATTTTACAACCAAAAACTGACAAAGCCATTTTTACAAGACTTTTTTCTTACAATATCTGTAAAGATTTGTCTCGTTTACAGTCAAATACTAAATGATAAATGTGTTACTTTTACTATATTATGATACTAAAATTTATTGAGAATTTCCTCTCATCATCATAACAAAAATTGCATCTTGATATATGAAAACCTTCATTTCACATTTTTATAATTTTGTAAACAAAAGTACTTACCTTTTCAGTCAGTTGAATTTCCAAATTTTTCACATTTTCCTTCAGTTTTAATATTACATCATCTTGATCGTAATTCTAAAATATTTTAATACTTATGTTAAAATGAATTATTAATTACATGATTAATTCTTTATAATCATGTAATTAATTCATAATAAATTCTTTTAAAGAATACAAGAAACAGAAAAATATATTTGAAACAAATAAAAAATAAAAAAGAAGAGTTTGTATTTTATTTTATATACATCTAATCCTCAACTTGCATACTAAATTTTTTAATCAAGGTATCCCTTGATTAGAAAAAATACATTGATTAATCCCTTGAAGCTATCGTGTACATCAAAAATCGGATCAAATACAGTAATAACCCGAGTTACATAAGTAATGCAGACCATAGACCTTTATGTAACTCAAAATTGTGAATTGCTTAAGTGTAACTACGTAATTAGTAACTCAATACTGTATTTATTATTATACTGTACTGTATTATGTGTGTACTGTACATATATTATTATTTATTTCTTTGTATAAAAGAACTGTTTACGAGAAAGAGTGCCCAGTACACTTGCGTACGTGCTTACAATTAGACTGAAAAGTAAAGGATTAGCAGAGCAATAAAGTAATAAATCAGTACAGTGCAAAAGAAAGAAAGGGGAGGAGAAAGAGAGAGAATGGATGAATGTTTAAAAAGAATAATTCTTTGTAAAATTACATGTTATTCTACTGTTTTTTTTTCCAATTTTTGGAATTTACATTTTAATGATGTAAGCTGCATGTTATGTAACTTGGGGTATTACTGTACTGTACATTGGTACCCAACCTAAGAATCACGGCCTCCTAGAACAAATTTTCAGTTAATAACAAATATTTTAATTTTGTCATCAATAAGAAAAGTTTTATATGATAAATATGAGTAAATAATTTAAAAATTAAAATGAAACTTTACAGCTTGTCAGACAAAATTATACTCAATCCAGTTTGTTTCTCTCACTTTAATGCATGTGGAACACAATCATCATGTCAGTGATATACTAAAATTTGTTCAAGTTCATGAGTTGTTATTCATCAATTTTTGATAATTTCTACCCAAAATTTCTCTTTGTCAACAGCTTTTGGGTGCCCCATGTGTTTTGTATCCTCTAGTTCAAAATTTCCGAAACAAAACTTTTGAAACCACATTTGACTTGTTCAACATAAAGGAGCATCTTTTCCATACGTTGAGTCTTTTTTTTTTTGTATAGCATTATATCCTTTACAACAGTGGTTCTCAACCGGGGGTACATCTGCCCCTAGGGGTACGAGCGTAAATCGAAGGAGTACATCTAACTTTTATTATAAAATGGCGCATGTTAATGAATTTGCTGTAAATTATTAACACAAGAAATGACAAAAACTTGCTTTAAAATATCCTAGTATGAACACTGATTTCCCTTTTAACAGTTCAAACAATTTGTTTATCCACTTGATTTACCTGTCTATTTGTGCTGTTAGTGCCAAGTGAACCTGTAGTCTAGTAAAATTTTGATTTAACCAAGCATTAATTTTAGAATAGATGAAATCACCGATGTCAGCGGATTGACAGTACTTTTAGTTTTTGTGAAATATCAGTACAATGATGAGCTTTGTGAAGATTTGTTAATGTGTGATGACCTAAAAAATACAACTACGGGTTTTGATATTTTCAATAAAATCAATGATTTCATTCGAAGTAATGAAATAGATTGGAAAAAGTGCATTGACATCTGCACTGATGGAGCTAAAGCTATGTAAGGTCCAATTTAAAAGGTCTAAAGAAAACTTTTACCATTTTAATAACATATTTGTGACAAAAACTAAAAAAAAAGAAACAGGCTTGACGCATCAGCAGACATTCGTTGTCAGTTAACAAAGTGGGAACCAAATTTGAAAAAAATTGCTGAAGATTTATCGCAACAAATATCCCATTAAATTGTTAGAAATTATTGTAGAATAATTTAAATTTTGTTTATTGTGAATTATAATTATTTTTAGGATATGTAATTTATGCATGTATTGAAATGACTTCTATGATTTTATATAATATACTTATCAAATAACAATAAATAAATGTATGTACAGTGCCTGTTTAAATTGATTATTATTTACATAAAATAAGTAATCCACTTTTAATTATAGTTAGTTAGTGAGAGTTTTTTTATGGTGCTCAGTTATAAGGGCTGTATATATCTAACGCAGTAATTATAAAATTTACATACAAAAATATAAGGGGTACTTGAGAAACAACTAAGGGCTAATGGAGTACATTGACATAAAAGGTTGAGAACCACTGCTTTACAAAACTTAAAAAGCATAATATAAATGATATGCATTTCATCTGCAGACATTTCAATTTGATTTTACATGAACAAAATGTAAAGTTTTAAAATTATCTTCTAAATAAAGAATACAATATTGCATCAGCAGTAATATGTAAATTTCACAATTATTGTAATTAAACTATCTATCTCTAATGGAAATCACCCTTGGCACAAAAATAGCAGATTTACTAACACCTTGTTTACTGAGAAAAACATATCTATGTTAAATAAAGACAACTGTTAAAGCTATATTAATTAAAACCTTTGCTATGTATATAAAGGGATTGCCACAGTTAATTTTGCATGTTAATCAAATCCTGCATTAAACAAAATAGCATTAAGCAACGAATACCTGTAGTTTCATGCAAGTTTTATGTAAGTTAAAATTAAATAAATTAATACAAGGACAATTCAACTTCTGCCCAGAAGTTCAGTAATGGCAACGAATCTGTGTTTTACATAGTCTCAAATTATGTACCTTTCTACAGTATGTCTCCTCTGCATACTGACATTTCTCATATCATTATGGCAACAACATTATACTTGCTGAATAAAAATCTTTTAGCTGACGTCAAGTCTGCTACACGACAATCTCTATAGCTTTGGCATTCGGGATGAATCTCCCGTCTACCAACACTTCCTTCAAAGACCTAATGTATGATAATTACATAATGACAGTTCCAAACTGTAGGCCAAGTAATCCAGAATTTCCCAATCAAGTCCATTGATCATCTCCCACTGTGCAGTACATGTCCCAACATCAGCCAAGAGACCTCTATTCTGCAGGCAGGCAAAGCATCATTACCAAAACAACAAAGAAGTGTTGGCATGGCGGGGAGAAACCAGAGAAAGAAATACAAATTGGAATCATTTAATATACACACAGTTCCATCACCATTACTGAAATTCTGAACAGAAGTTGAATTTCCACAATACTTACATGGAAAAATAAAGGAATAGGTTTACACAATTTTAATTTACATGTAACTTTCATAGAATCAATCTCTGTATAAATTGAGGATTAGATATATTCCAAAACTTGTATTTCAGATTTATAAAGTCAAGTAATTTTAATATTTTACATTTATTTTGTAAAGTTAATTTATTTATTTATTTATATGTTCTAAAATATATATATATATTGGATTCCATAAGAAATGCTTCATTTAGTTTCCATAAAAACAAATTTTTAACATATTTCATTCCCACTGACAAGTATATATTCAAAAGTACAACAACTATTTCTTTTAATATCCTTTTTAAATTTTAAGTATGATAAGAGCAAACGTTTTCACTGTTTTTAAACTTAGGAAATCATTTATATTTCAAATACATTTAATAAATTATTTGTCTTCTCTTGATTACTAGAACTAAACAAATTCAAAAAGACTTTTGCTATCTATTCACTCTGTCATTTGTTAATATCTGTTAGATGTTGCTAATGTAAACAAATTTGCAAATTAAACTGATTATAATACATTATAAAAAATAATTCTTTACTAATTAAAAAAAAGGAAGCAGTACCATTAAGTGAAGATCATTAGAAATCAAACTTTATACATTATACAATAACCGCTAAATAGAGTTATTTACCTTTTTAGAAAATTGACTTTCTAGATTTTTCACCTCTTCCTTTAACCTTGAAATCTCGGTATCTTTATCACGTGCCTAAAATATTTTAATTAAAATTAAAAGCCAGATAATTATATATTAATTTGTTCACAATAAATTTTAAAATCACAAATCATACTAACAATAACTGAATTAAGGTAATTTAAATGTTAAAAATAATGATATAACTAGTAGGTTTTGAAATTACCTTTTAATATTATAATGTATGCATATATATTAGAGAAAATCTAAGAATAAAGATGATTTACATAAAAACTAATACAGAAAATGATTTGAAACTATTGTGTCTACTACACTGTTACAGAAAATCTTAATACAAATAGTCAACCCTAGAACCATGTTGTAAACCTCATGGAAAAGACATACTGAAGAGGACCTCACTAATGGCTGAGGGAATAAAACCACCAAAGTGGTTTTCGGACCAATGGTTTGGTGATTACTGATAGTTGGTCGCAGGCTTGTACCTCACAATCAATCTGACTGAGTGGAATTTTCTGGGTTTTCTTCACATGTGCAACACTTAAATAGGAGCTAGTTTCCCATAGAAAGTACTTCCTAGGAAGCATTGCCCAACTTATGTGTTGTTTTATCCCATTAATACTATATCCTACATACTGAAGAGGTGATCATTTATTCCCTCATTAAATAGCAATTTATGAAATAAAGGTGTTTGAAAAGGCAAGCATTATTTTGAACTAGTCAGTTATTATAGGAAACTCAGTAAATTAAATCTTAAAACATTTTCTCACTTAATACATTAAGTCTGGGCCTGAGAGTATAATGGAACGCTATTTATATGTTTCACATTTATATACCTATCATTTATATATTATTTACACTAGTCCTAAAGCGTTCTTAGCCCTTTCAATTTGAATTTTCAATTGAATACGTCACAACATTTCATCCTTGTCTATCTCTGAAACATAAGTGTTATGGCAGAGTCAACCTTTTATTGGATGATCTCATCTGCCTCAATATGCAAAACATTAAGAATTTTTCTTCCATGATAGCATAATTATAAAAATATATTCGTAAATAATAAATGGTCAGATGTAAATGGAAAAACATTTTATATATTCTTCTATCATTCTGCACATGTTTAAAATATATTTATTGTCCTCCCTATTTCTATTTATTAAGAGAAATTATTGATTACAATACCATAGGTGCAGAAAAAATAACAATAATCTTCAATGACCTACATTACTATATTTCATTGAGGATATACACTTAACTGGACAGCAGCACATTTTATTCTTTTTCCAGTAGAGAACTTAATTTATTATTATTATAGGGTAATAAAAATATAAATTACCTGTTTCACTTCATTAGAATATTCAGCTTTTAACCTCTCATTTTCAAGAATCAAATTATCTCTAAATGTTTTTATATCTGTAATTTCATTCTTCATTACTGTTAACTGACTGATTAATTCATTATTCATATCATCATTATTTTCAACGTTTGGTTGATCCTAATAAAAACAAATGGACAAAAATAATTAAGTGACATCATAAAATATTTATAAATTATTACAAACAGATTGAAAAATATATTTTTCAAATAAGTTTTGTGTTTAATAAGTTGGGAGTGTTTTTTCTAGTGTTCAAGAATATTCATGCCAAATTTGTTGCAGATATGGTGAGCAGTAGGAATTTTTTACCTAACAGACATACTGTATATATTTTAACTTTCATATATATGTAGAGAGATGTTTTGAGACAAGTTTGAATATCTATGTTTACAATAAGCAGATCATATTGTATACATAAAATAGATTCCTGAAGATTTTTCTCCAACGTACAAGTATAATTATCAAAACATTTAACATTACAAATTATTAAAAATGCAAACATATAAATCAGTTTTTTTTTTACAAGTAATATAATCACTTCAACATGTTTTTCTTCTTTTCAAGATTCTTTTAATTTGTTACCTGAAACTGAGAAATTAACTCAGTTTCAAGTAACAAATTATTTCTAGATACTCTGCTTTTCCTAATCTCATTCTTCGTTAAACTTACATTAGTCACCTTCGCGCATTCATCTTCATTTTCCGATTCCTCTTTCTGATAAATGCAAAAGTAGTGAAGTGTTAATTTTAAAATTTAATCAATTATTATAAAATTTAAAAGTAACTTACATGAATTCCTTGTACAGATGTATTTTCAAAATTTCTTGTTTCATTCAATTCTTCTGTTTCCTCTTCCTCCTCGTAACTGTCGTCGTCGTCATCTTCGCTTCCTTCAGAATCATTATACCTCTGATGGACTATTTCAATTTCTTCTCTTATAAAGTCGTCTGCATTTTGTTGTACTTTTCTTAACTGTTCTCTGTGATAAAATTGAAAATGTCAACATCAATGTTATACAAATTTTTTCAAATATGGAATAAATATAATAAATAATTTTGCAAAACTACATAATGCTGCAATTTTTACAAACACAATATTGCATTATAAGAGAAAGAATTTTTTTGTCCACTTAATTTAGAATAATGAATGTATTTTGTTAAAAATTTGTTACCTGTAAGCTTTTTCTATTTCATTCATGTGTTCTGCGTATTCTGCCGAAACTTCTTCACGAATTTGTGACTCCATAAGAGCATTTGCTATTTTAGCTTCTACCAATTGTTTTTCTAAATCTTTTACCAATTGTTCCATTTCCTGTAAGAAGAATCAGTTAGCTCATACATGATTTAAAACTTCTATAAATATTTATTCTTTATCAATATCATATTCACTACTTAACATAAATTAATTGTATATTAACAGTTAAAGAAGTATTTTTAATTGTTATACAGAGAAAGTTAACAGTCCTCGAAGAGCAATATATTGTTTTTTCTATTATTTTGCAGTTGATGATGATGTTTATAGTTAATTAGACATTTCTTAGCAAAGTATTAAAGTATTTATGAACAATATGATAATTTTAATTAAAAACTATGGTAACTATAATGTTTGTGGAAAATTGGTATTGTAAATTTTCATTTTCTGCTCCCATTTAAAACATCTCTTCCATTCTTACACATTTAGTCCACTGTAATTTATGTAAATGTGAGAATCCAGTGGCTGTTTTTCTATAATTTTTTATGAAAAGATGCATTGCAGAAACTTTCCCTTTCCCATCCATTTCCCACAGACTTAAAAACGGGAGAATACTGAATATTATTTTAACTGTCAATGTAAGGTGGGAGTGAAAAAAAAACAGGCACCCTTGGGGAGACACCATCGTGGGGATAGTCCCCATTTGTAAGGATGCGGTGTACCCGAACCTAAACTCGCAAGGAGGTCGCCCTTAAGGTAAAAGGTTATGACCCTCGCTTTTTTTGTGATCTGTCAGGATGACACGAGAAAGCCTTTTCCGTATGGGGGTAGTGGTTTGCTAGACGGTCCCTGGTCGGTTGCCAGGGACGCGATTCGGGCTGAATGTCCCCGTCTGGGCCATTCCCCTCCGGAGTCGGGTCAAGCCCTTTCCCAGATGACGGTCCCATAAATTTTACCTAATGTCTGTTTTTCTGTCCCGGAGAGGAGGAAGCCATCTCAGCCGCCGCCCCCTCCACAGGAGTGTCAGCAGGACCTGTACAGTGACCGTCCAAAGTTTCCCTGACGGTCGATCCCTCGCTCGTTCTCACGACTGACGATCGCGGATCTGTCAATTAGGTCTGGAATGTGACAATTAAATCGTCTCGCACCCCGTTCCTTGGTCACACCGGTCCTATTTACGTAATAAGTCACCGATATATTGACTTTAGCTCGACAGCCGGTTTCTGTCCAAAGGAGGGTGTGTGGTCCCGGCCTCACATCAACAAGTCCTTTCTCCCCTTGCATCAACCTACGAAAATATCGAAAATATGTTAAAACAACCAATTGTGAAGTGTGAGAAAGCTGACACTTAACTTAGTTCACAAGGAAAATCTAAAAACAATCGAAGGAAATACTAAGCCTTCAAATCGACTTTGAGTAACATTCATCGTCTAGCAACAACACCTTAGATGTCATCACTGCCAAATAAACGATCACCTGACCAAATAACCACACTGGATGGGGATATAATGGCCAGGTGCCTATTAGTCAGGGCGAACATACTCTGAAGACAACCATATAGAGTCGTCCCGCCATATAGTCCCCAAAGGATTAAATATATATTTGTTTGTGTTTTGTGCAAAGCTCTTTCCCTGTCCTCCACAGATAATTTAGTGTCAAAATAATGACCATTACTCCAAAAAGAGGTATGATAATTAACTGCTTGTTGTAAATTCTCTCAATCATTTAGCATTCAAGTTAGAGTCAGTAGATATCAGCTCGTATAAGTATACTTGTACCACCCTAATAATTGTAATTGCAGATAGTTTTGTAACCTGCTTTATTTTAATATTAAAATGTGTTATTTTGTTAACCTGTCCACCCGTCTCACTCGGAATAATGGTCACCCTATCGACTTAACCATCAGGCTCCCCACTCCGAAAAACATAACCCTTGTAGCCATCCAGTGATGTAAGCGGGTTTCAACAACCTGTCTCCAACCAAAGGGGTTTAGAGTTTGACGCTCTACCCACCTGCTTCTCATATAAATGAGAGACAGCTGATCTAATTTTGACCTAATTTAAAGAAATTTTTAGCCTATTTCTCCATCTCAATCGTTAAAAAATATCACACAAAAAAATGGATTGAATGACACCCTGTTCATCAACAACTGCTAAAAAATTATAACAATCTGGTGTTAAGTTATAACAACTTATTGTTAAAAGAGGAAAAAGTCAACCTTTGAACAAGTAAACAGGATGAATCTTACAGGTCTTGAACCAAATATGGTATTGTCAGCTCCGTTTAAATGACAGTTTAACATCATCGACGCCCAACCTCACATCTGCAACTTTGTCTCCAAACATCCAATCACCTGATGGGTTTTCCCAGGCCTAAAGAAAATAAAAGGAGGCCTAGAACTTGAGTCTTGAGGTGGACATCTCCAGAGACCAGACCAAGTGGACATCTCCAGCCTCACCATATTCGAGACAGACTCCAGCAGACATATCCCAAGATGCCATATTCCAGCGGACATATAAGGCGGACACTTCAGCCCAAGGCTCCAGCCTCGCCACATTTCGGAGTAAATATCCCCATAAAAAAAGGTCTCCTGTCCTGCTCATTTCCGAGCATTGACCTCAGCTCACCTGCCAAATGCCCAGATGATCTACAAAGATGCCTCAACCATACCAGAGGACATCTCTTTCTCGAAGGTATCTTGTTAGTCCATATGTAAACTCTCTAAGTAAATAGAATGGGAACAAAATCCCAAAAACCTCACAAACAATGTGATGACATGATTAGCTTAGTTGTGTATTTCGTGATTAGCTTGTAGTCTTACATTTAGATATATATTATAGTTGTTATATTGTTAAACCTGGTGCAGACTTAAATGAAACTTTGAACACCTACCAACTTACCCATTGTGCTCCCCACTCGACTGTTTAAGACCCTCATCAGCCATCCAGTGACAAATGAGCGGTTTTTGCCAAATCATCGCTGACTAAGTGGTCTAAAGGGAATCCCTTTGCCCCAGCATCTCACATAAATGTCACTACAAAACCTTCTCACAGATCAGCTGTTGTTTTTTTATATGCTGTTATTCATATGGATTGTTTGTCTGCTGTCTTATGCAATACAATAAAGAACAACAGCTAGCATATAATTAAAGTAAATTCCAGCAATTTAAACTACTCTACTGCTAGAAAATAATGATTAAAACAAGTAACATTTAACATTTGAAGTGCTGCTTAAGACTGATAACAAGTTATCAGCCATTTGCCAAGAAAAAGCTCAAAAAGACAGCTTAAAAATACCTATTTACCTGAGGACAATAAAAAAACAATAAAAATTCCGATTATAATAAGCAGTTATAAATGTATTTTTGGGTGCTGTGTGCTAATCTTAACATTAAACGACTGATAATAAGCATGATTAAAATAAGAAATTCTATAGAGTGATTCACTTGGGACTGAATGCTTATTACATGGAATATTTCTGTATAAAATGAAAAGACGAACATGAAACACAAACAATCATTTCATGACAAAGCAGTCAACTAAGATAAATTTTGCATTGTGTTTTTCAAATGTAACCGTGCAATCATGAGGTATTGAGAAAAGTAGGTGTTCCATCCTGAGTGAATCATCTGCACTTTATGTATCAATGGTCAACTCTAATATACAAGAATAGTGAGAATGTTAAAACATTTCCAATATATGTTTACTGCATAGATATAACAGCATGACATGTGCAAAAGCCAGTAAATATTTCTCATATTAGTCATTGCATTGAGAGTTTCCAATGATAAAATATTGACTATGAAGTAACTTCAATGTATAAAACTTTCAAATAAGCAATAATTACATCCTCAATTTCAATAGAATATAACAAAAATTAAATTCAAATCCTATCAATTTATGAGTATTAATACAGCAAAGAATAAAGTATGAGATAATATTTATAAATATAACAATATTTTAAGTAGTATTTTTTCAAATTAATAAATTTGATAATTTTAGTGAATCATAATATAACTAAAGAAAATAATATTTTCAGGCCGAATTTCATCTAAATTGCAAGAAATGCTTCTTTCACCAATAAAATCATCTCAATGCAATGACAAACTAATAATTTGTTTACTATTTATAATTAATTGATTAAAACTTTCTGCAGAATTAAATTACTAAATTAATATATAAACGTTATAAGAAAAATTATTACATAATACAGTTTTATACGTTGTTCATCATCTCTGTCTTGATCTTCATCATCTTCCTCTTCCACTGTTTCATCAATTGTAAACGAAGAACTTTTTCTTGCTCTTCCTTTATTGAAAGTTGTCCAACTACTACTATTTCTTATCCATATTTCAGTTAGACAATCCATTATTTTGCTTGTGTTTACTACATCTGTAGTAATAACCTATATAAGAAATTTTATATGATTACTATACAATAAACCACTTGCAATAAAAGATGACTTATCAAAAAATACTTTATTTAGTACACTTGTTTTAGTTTGAGATGATTTGATCTTTTTGACCCATTACACATAAGTCCAACATGACATGCATCCAAGGGTTAAATACAGGTGCTTACTTACTTACAAACATTCATCTTATGAACAATTTGACCTTACAACTAAGAATTAAATTTTGTGCAAATTCTGAGATTTCATTGCCACTTGTGAGGTAATGTTGAAGTTGGTAATGTTTTTGCAATTTTTATGAACTTTTACAATTGGTGCATCCAAACATAATAGTAAATCTTGCAATGGAGATAAATGCATAAAGTTCCACTTTGTTACCATAGAATTTAAACTGGATGTTATAAAAGTAAGAGCATTCGGCAAAAAAACCACGTTTGAAACACCTGCTACTAAGCAGTAGTGAGAAAGTAAATAAGCATAATGCATTCTATTAAGTACATTGAAAGATTAAACACTAACAATAACTGGTTATTCTGTGTACAGATGTATTTCCTATGTTAGTTTTTGAATGAGCATTTCAAATTGATAAAACCTCTCTAATATCAGTTTTGTTAAATATAAATTGAATAATTGCTGATGTAAAAAATAGTTTCCATCTTCTCTAATAAATATATTTGTTTTGCATGGCTTTACCAATGTTTTTTGACAGATTATTATTTCTTATATTAATGTAAAATACCTTTGGTTAAGGTACCTAACATCAATAAAGAATCTCAAAACTTTAAAGGAATCCCCAAGTAGATTGTAAAACACAAGTGAAAAATAAAAATCTCAGGTGTATCATGTAAATGATTCCACCAAAAACATAACTTTCCAAATCATGTAGATCTCACTTTCTGAATGACAGAGAGAAAGTTTATAAAAAAGCTGGCAAGGACTCTTGCTTGACTTCCTGGCAGATGAACAGGAGGTTAAGAAAACCATTAGAAAGTCCAATAATTTTCAATTATACTAGAATATAAAATTTAAACAACAAAAAAACCTTAAAAAAAAATAACTTTGTTGAATTATCATAAGTCTCCATTTAGAAAAATATTTAAGTTGAAAAAATAGTATAAATAAGCTCAAAGTTAAAAAATTGTGTATGGCACATCTATTATGAGACATTATTAAAAACATAACTTTTATAGTTTTATGTGACGTACAACCTTCCCTCTCTCCCTCAAGTTAAGTACTTCAAAATTTATCATCATCAATGCCTCTTATATACAAGTTACCATACCAAATTTAATTTTTTAGTCTTTATCTCATCCTGACATATATATATATATATATATAAATGGACATGTATGTCCCTATATTTCACTTTTCTGCCAAAACTACACATCGCACGTGAATGGTGTTTGTATGTGGTGGTAGCCCCAAGTCTCCATTCGTGCATAGGGGTGGTTGCATCTCAATAGCTATAAGAGTGTGGGAGATATGAGGCTGAAAGTGGTTGAAAGTAGCTTTCTATTTCAAATGTTTTGTTCGAATTTGTTCGAATTAAATTCGAACATAAAATTCGAATATTGGTTCCATTATAGAATGATTGTAAATGTTCCAGAAACGTTGAAATTTGTTCGTTTGACTAAACGTAAAAATTCTCTAATTAGTCTGGAAACGGGGAACCTAATTCTTGCATTCTGTGAAAACGGGTAAGATTAGCTATAATGTAATTATCTTAATCTTCACTATCGTTACTTTTTGCCCAGCGAAGCGGGTCCTTGCAGCTAGATTCTAGATTACTTAGAAAAACAGTCTTATATATATATATAAAAATATATTACATACAAATAAAAACCCAGCAAAGCGGGTCCTTGCAGCTAGTATTAAATGAAATAAACATGCAACATACAGAAGGAATTTTTACTCTCCTTTTTTGGGTTTGGAGGCCTCAAGATTTGCAGAAAAACCCAGAGGGACAAATTCAACATGATTACAATACTTTCCTTTATTATATACATAATAGCTGAGAAAGTAAAATAAAATGGTGCAGCTAAAAGAATGTTACTAGGAAAATTTTAAAAAAATCCAGAGTTGCTCAACTGTCTCAGCAATATTTAAAACTGCATATGTGGCACCATCTGTTATGATATTCATTCATTAACTTCTTTACAGAGGGTTGCTGCTGTTGATGGACAGTTCTTCTCCACTCTCTAGAATTGTAGGCTATTCCCAAGCTTGAGCCAGTCCATTTTTTGATGATGTTCTGCGACATTCACCTAGGTCTTCCCTTTCTCCGTCTGCCCTCTACCATTCTTTGAACTGCAATTTTCATCAGTTCCCCTGAGCGTCCTATTATTATATGCCTAGCATATGCTGTTTTTCTTCTCTAGATGCTGATAATCAGGTTTCTTTCCATTTAAAATCTACTCATAACCTCCTCATTAGTTATTCTATCTATCCATCTAATTCTTTCCATTATTCTAAGAAACCACATCTCAAACTAGACTATTCGTCTAGTTTGTTAGGAGTTGAAAACATCAACTTTTGCTGAATTTCAGTTTGTTTGACCAAGCAACTTCTTTCTTAAAACGGAAATAACAAATGAAACCTTTTCAACCAATTGTGTTCTAACTCAGTTTGTGCCATGCAGTATGATGTAATCATCATCTTGTTTTCATTAGTTTTTTTTCATTGTTCATGGTAGTTTATATTCCAATTACAACTTAAATTTATATTATTTATTAAATTTTTAAATGATTACTATATAAAATCACAAAACTAAATGCTTAAATTCTATTATTCATTTCATTCCATTCAGTTATAAACTTTAAATCCTCAAATACCTGTTTTGCTATAGCAGAAAATTTCATTACATTAAGTGTTTCATCAAACATACTAGAACACTGATGCACATTAACAATCATCAAAGCTTGACCTTTTCCAGTAAAGACAGATTGGAATATTCTAGTTAATTTACTCTCTCTGTAAGGTATAACTTTCTTCTCTCTGAAATAGAAATTTATTCAATTAATTTATACACTTCCTTTGCAAAGCATCATCATCATCACATAAATTCACCATTACCATCAACAGCTGATAAACTTACTTGTGAACCTGATTTTGTCTCAAAGTTTCGATGCAGCGTCCAAGAACTAATAAAGATGTATTTATGTTGCCTGCCTCTTTTAGACGTTCTCCGACATTTTGTGTTTTTGAAGACCTTTCGGAGCCGGCCAAATCGCAGAATGATAATCTATCAAAGTTTTCAGTATAAAAAGAACTTTAGTCTATAAATCTTATTCCAAATAATAAATTTTTAACTTGCGTACAATAATTTAAGTTTCTGCAAAGATATGAACATTTTAAACAGTTTCTAAAGTTATGATATTGCAAAACAAAAATATACATGAAAAATTTGTTTGGGTTTCACATAGGTATTAAAAGTATCTGAAGTAGAAAACAGATTCTTTTTTTTGCAATTTTATAAAACAAATTTGAGTATTATTCAATAATATAAATGCATACCTATACATGACTATTATATTTTAATGGATACCGGCGGCCCTCGACTTTTGTACATAATTGGTTCCTGAAATGATGTGCAAATGTTGAATGTTTGAAAGTAGAGAGATGTAAAGAAATATGCACCAAAAACTGTGTTTTAAATATTTATTCCTTAATTTTACTCTTATTTTTCAAAATTGCACATATTGTAAATCTGTTTACATCAGTGATTCTCAAACTTTTTTGATCCACCGCCCCCTTTGTTCCATAAAGTTATACCGAACGCCCCCTAACTCATTTTCTCTTATGTGAGAAAAGGATTGGAAATATTCTTAGGAAAACTTTTCTATGAATCTCACACTTTGTGCCCTTACTGTACATTGTTCTCATCATCTGGAAACCATTAAACGCAATGTTTCCTCTTATCAGCCCCAATTTTGCCTTTGGTCACCGTTCAATGCCCTGCCTCTATCATAGATATATTCATCGCACCAGAAGGGGGCATTATTGCTTACTTTGAGAAACGCTGAGCTAAAATAAAAGTCAATGTGTTAGAAATATTCAAGTTGTGACCTTCAATAAAAAATAAAAAATATATAAAATGTCAACATTTTATATATATTATAAAATGTCAACATTTTATATATATTCCATCGAATTTTTATATATAGAATTTGTCTGCCGTCGCCCCTCTATATTTCCTTAACACCCCCCAATTCTCTTTGAGCCTTCTACTGCCCCCCTGAAAGCCTCCAGCGCCCACAAGGGGGCGTTATCGCCCACTTTGAGAAACGCTGGTTTACATCATACAAACGTACAATTGAATCAAAAGATTCACCGTTTTCAGAATGTTTAATTATTTCCATCTTTGTCTCGATTGTATGAAGTTTATGAGTCCTTAATTTCTTTTTGTTCGCATCAACACTGCAGTTTCTCCGTTTCTCACTCATGTTTCTCAATTTACATCGGATTTTGGAACAAAGTGAAGAGACGAGAGTTGGAATGGCACAAGAAGAAAACAAGACGACGGTTAAGAAAAGACGTTACAATTGTAGAACATTATCATTCTATTGAGAAGATGGTTTGAAGACGATTTGAAGACACTGGAAGATTATTGCTACTTCTAGTTCTTCAGTTTTCTATTTCAATCATTATTCCTACATTTATAAGGACGAAATATTTAAACATAAACAAATAAATTGGCAAAATACACAATACGTTGATGCACACCCTAACGCAAGACTGAAACTGTTTTGACCTCCTGCTCTGAACAATACAGTAGCGATTAGGATTCCAAAAAGTCCACTATTGTAGGAAATAATGTGTGTCCAAGAACATAGTGTGAGCTAGTGCACTTTGTAGTGTATTAACGTTCTGCATGGAAGCAAATTTTTTTTATTATCGACAAAAATATTTAATAAGTTGAATTTTTAATGTGTGAAATAGCAAATTGTGCGAAAGTTGAGGGCCACCTGTAACTTTATTACAACGATTTTTTAATTTACATCAGAATTATATTAAAAACATCATGCAATATAAATCTGTGAAAAACGTACATAATTTTAACAAAAATACATCAAGATGCCTACAAGAGTAACTTTTCAATCTTAGTTAAGTTAATCCTACAGAACATACTATTACAAAATAAGGGAAAGTAAGTGTAAGGCTAATGTCAGACAAGCGTGATTTCACATCTGTCATTTCTCGTGAGATTACAAAACCATATGGGAGCAGTCAGGTGGACATAGATGAGAAAAATCATGTCACACGGCATGGATGGGCAACAGGATCGTCTGTGATAATCTTATGACATTGCATGACTGTTGTGCACTGAGAGATACACTCAAAGCCTACAGTTGTCAGAGGAGCATGAAAAATGGTGGATGTGGTAACATTGTTTCAAGGAAATACTGGGTCGTGTCATTCCTGCTGTGTTTTAAAAATTGCACTTGATATAAGAAAAATGATCATACAAATTAGTAAGAGGCCAGAATTGAAACTTCATTTGAACTTTATAAAAACAGAAATAAGAAAAAGGAAGACCAGCTACTATCAACTATCAAAAGGGTGTATCCAATACTGCCTATGTCTTTTTTTTGTTTTTAAATACTTCTTACGTAATAAAAAACACAGCACATGACAATCTACAAGATTCATGTTGACATACAGCATCCAAAATAAAGCTATTAACAGGCTCCATGAAAAACAGCACTTGTCTGACCAACGACTTTGCCACCATAAATAAACAGATAACATCTGTGTTTTCACATTCTTCTGACATTAGCCTAAAAGTAGGAAGAAATATGGTGCATTTTGAATAGACAACCTGTTAACAAAACAAAAAAACAGCTAGCTAACATGCTGTAGTACAGTACTTCCCATCATTGTATTATTTTAAATTCAATGAATGAATTTATAACTTATAAACAGAGAAATGTTTTGAAGTGGGAAATAATTTTCTTAACTGTCAACATTACCAGAGGTGATGAAAGTCTGTGTCTTGTAAACTAAAACTTTGTGCTGGCAACTCAAAATTTTCTGACATGTATCTTTGCATTTTCTTTTATGTACAGTACTTTGCAATATGTAAGCCTCAGCAAAAATTCAATTTAAACCACACAGTACTGTAGGGCCATTATAAAATCACAAGTGACCTTGGATGTGGTAAAATTTGCTTTATAGTGCTCTAAACAAAAGGTAAAGATTTTGAGGTTGCCTCTGACCAATTACTCTCTTTGTATCAAATAAGTATTATAATCTTAATTTTATTCTAAAACTTCTTGCAAATATGCAAAAAAGAAGCAATGTGATATATAGGTTTAACTGCAACTGTACTAACCCTATGACCTGTGTAGGTGAAACGAAAAGATACCTCAAAGTTCGTATAAAAGAATATATAAATGCCATCAAATACAATTCCGATAAATACTCTGCAGTTGTTAAACACTGCAATCTACATGGATATGGATGAGAAATAGATAAAAGTATGATAAAAGCACTAAAATTCGAAACTAATACCTATAAACGTAAATATTTTGAACATTACTGATTTAAAAAAATTTCTATATGTTAATAGAATTAATGATAATCTGGGTGTTAAAACTGACAAAGGATAGCACAATTATATCTTTTAAAAACTAAATATCTTTGTAATATTACAACTATATATTGTTAAAAACTGTTGTAAACTTGTAATTGTATCATATGTTTGTAAAGTACTAAGTTATTTTCACGCCTTTTACAATGATTAGCGACACGACTTTGTGCTGGAAATCTCCGTTACCTAATGGGTACTTTACATGAATTCGCTTTAATGTGCCAGGCCTGGACTTTAAGCGTGCACCAAATTAAATAATGACAAAGTTAGTCAAAATCAAATTCAATATTTAATAATTCTAATAACGACTATGTACAAAAATTTAGTAACAATCAACAACAAATTTATTCAAAGAAAAAAGCAATAAGAATCAACCCAACAAAACTCAAATCAATCTATTTGCTAATTTATTGATAAATCTATTCCCCTTTGGAACTCGGCAAAAATTTCAAAGACTTAACTTATGTACAACAATTCTTATGAACTAAGGTCCTAATTGTCACCTCAATATAAGACTCTCTCTAATCTTCGATCCACAAATCGAATAACTTCAAAATCGCCTTGGAACCACTTTATTGCTATCGGACACATCTTGTCGTTTGCTGCTACGAAGCTCACCATGCTCATTGCTAACAGAAGCTCACCTCAGTCATCTTCACTTGAGGTTCGGACTTTATACTATGAGGTGATGTCACAATTCTGATTGAGATCACTCCCCTCATTTAAATACTTATCGCTAACAGTTAACTTTTCCTTTCTGCCTGGCAGCCTATTTCCCGACAATACTTGCTAACCTTTTACATTATTCTTTTATACAATTTTTCAGGATGCTTTGTTCTTTAAGGTTTAGCAAGTTCCTAAGTTGTGCTTGTGAGGTCTCCCCACCTTTTCTCGGTACGGACTTACTTTTTCTGCTCGGAGCGCAAACGTGCGCAAGTTTTTTTCTATGGCGCTGTTTTGTTTTGTCGATCAGTTGGTTCTCTTTTTTTCTATTTTTAAGTTTCTAAGGTGAGTGGTGAGGAAACCTTCGTCCTAACAAAACATAAGCCCAAACAAAAATAGAATAAAAAGCAAAATAAAAAATAACTAAAAATAACGCTTGGACTTGGTTCCTTACTTGTCACCACTTGTGCACCAGATGTGGACTGTTACACAAACTGCTCCCAGCACCTTGTTGTAATGCTGGCACCTGCGACTCTGTCGTCTTACTGTTTTTGGTATGTACATAATCTGTATAACTTTAGTTCATAACTGTAAACCAATAATTGGCTAACTTATAACTGTTTTTGTATCAGTACTCTGTATGTCACACCACCATGCAACGTTATGCAGATTTATTACACATATCTACACTGATAATGCTTACTACTCATACAGTTATAATGGTGTTTTCATCTTTATATTGTATAGCTTTAGGCATAATTTTAAGTTTATCTTTAAATACATTTTGCAAACACAAGGTAATCATTTCTTTTTTTCGATCCTAATTAACAAACACTAAAATTAAAAGATGTTTATTTCTATTGGAAAAAATTTTAAATACTCACTTATTAATTCTGGCTTCATTATGATTTTCAATGTCATCAATTTTAACCATTTTTATATTAAAAATGCAATGACTAGAAAGAAAAAGAAAACAATAATTAAAACATTTGAATAATTATGAATAGGAATGGTATTAAAATATTGTGTTTTAAATTTAAAAAATTATTATAAAAGTAATTAGTTATTTTATAATTAACAATATTTGCCATATTATGTGATATTTCATCATTTAAATATAAATAAAAATACAGAACATTTTTCATGCTAGATATTAGCCAGTATTGATAAAGGATAATAATTAGATATGATCTTAAGTGCAGAACTTGATTTTCGACTTTTTTGGAGATAGCTTTTTTTTTCTTTTGCCTTTGGGTGGTACAGTACATATACACCATGCCAAAATGAAAGCTTAAGTTGATTGAGGGCAATGGAGAGATATGAACACAGTCATCCCCAGTATGACTTTCTAAATTACAGTGAGTGACTAGTATATCTAAATTAATCTGTATGGAAGTAAAGATCAGATAGAGATCTATATAGCATAACCGCTAACACATCTGCACAGGAAGCAGGAGCTGAAAGTTCACATCATGCTCTGGACCAATCTTTTCTTCCAGAATATCCTAAATTAAATATTTTTTTTTCTAATTATTATATTTGACAAGAGATGATAGCTTAACTGCTTATCTCCAGTTCAAATTGCTCAATATCTTATTAATTAATTAGCCATATCATAATTCAATAATAATCTGGGTGTATCATTTGATTATAATATTTGATATTAGAAAGTTTTATAAATACAGTCATACCCCGGACTTACGCGATAGGTGGGACCGAGCGATAACCGCGTAAGTCAAATTCACGTAAGTCAGGGTATAATTTTGCATATAAATACATACAAATTATTTTTAATTGGGACCGGAGACTAAAGAAAACAATAATTTATAAAAAAATGTTTAATAAAACATACTGTATGTATAACAAATTATATTATTATACAATTTTTCACATTAACTTGATTATCAAACCATAATTTTAACATTGTTTCCATCTCAGCGATAATACCGTAACGTTTACGAATGATGATTGAATTTAAAGATTGAGAATTTTTTACAGATTCGAGAATTTTTTCTTTACCTTTTATAGTTGTTCTGACCGTCGATTCTGGTAGATCAAACTTCTTCACCAATTTACAAATTTTCATTTTTGTATCGAAGTCTTTAATAATGTTAACTTTACATTCCAAAAATAAAGTTTTCCTTTTCTTGTTTGATGCAGAAGAATCAGTTCTATTTCGTTTGGATGACATAGTAGAGTGTTAAGATTAATCATATTCGTTATTGTAAACCACGCATCTGTTCATTTCTTTTGTATGTCCGATGATCAAAAGATCGCTTGAGATTGAGTCTGTTTATAATTTGAAAGGTAATCTTGTCAGTTGTATATACAAAAGGTAAATTGTTTACAAAATGAGTCTTTGTTTATTATCTGATAAATGTATACTTTTTTCGTCAATTGATTACGATTTCAGATGCCTTTTGTGTAAAATCCAAGTCGGATGTAAGCAAGCTAATAAATGTTCTCGTTAATCTTATCTCGCCTTTTGGTTCGTTCATGGTTACAAGAAATCACCACATAGAGTCTCTCAAGTCTCCGTAGATATAACAAACAGAAATAAATTACACAAAATAAATTGTAGCTATGCGTCGATTCCGCGCGACAC